CTATCTGCTATGGTTTCATCTTTGCTTCCTCCCCCTAAACAGTTATCATCTCTTGATGTTAACAGTGCTACTGATACTTTCTGCTCCACTCTTACATCTTATTTAGACACTGTCTGCCCCCTATCTTCCAGAAAAACCCGTACCACCCCTTCTGCCCCTTGGCTGTCTGATCTTCTCCACGAACATTGTTCTAAGCATAAGGCTGCTGAAAGTGTATGGTGCAAATCAAAAAATCCTGCTGACCTTATCCAGCATTTATACCTGCGCTCACTCACATCGTTAATACATCCCTTCACACTGGTGTTTTTCCCTCAGCATTTAGACAGGCTCGTATAAACCCTCTACTTAAAAAAACCCACCCTTAACCCTTCTCATTTAGAGAACTACAAACCGGTTTCCATTGCAAAAACACTTGAACAAGCTGTGTTCAACCAAGTCTCTGCCTTTCTCACACAGAACAACCTCCTCGACAGCAACCAGTCTGGTTTCAGAAGTGAACATTCAACCGAGACAGCCTTGCTCTCAGTTGTTGAAGCCCTAAGACTGGCAAGAGCAGATTCCAAATCTTCAATACTTATCTTGCTGGATCTGTTCGCTGCTTTTGACACAATTAACCACCAGATCCTCCTGTTAACCCGATTGGCAAAGAGCATCTCAGGAACCGCACACCAGTGGTTTGAGTCTTACCTCTCAGATAGGTTCTTTAAGGTATCTTGGAGAGGTGAGGTGTTCAAGTCGCAGCATCTAACTACTGGGGTGCTTCCGGGCTCAGTTCTTGGACCACTTCCCTTCTCTGTCTACATGGCATCACTAGGTTCTGTCATTCAGAAACATGGCTTTTCATATCACTGCTATGCTGATGACACTCAACTCTACCTCTCATTCCATCCGGATGATCCAACAATAGCTGCTCGCATCTCAGCTTGTCTAACAGACATTTCTTGCTGGATGAAGGACCATCACTTTCAGCTCAACCTTGCCAAGACAGAACTGCTTGTGTTTCCATCAAACCCATTGTTTCATCACAATTTCACCATCCAGTTAGGCACATCAACCATAACTCCTTCAAAAACAGCCAGAAACCTTGGAGTTATGATTGATCATCAGCTGACTTTCTCAGACCACATTGCTAAAACTGCCCGGTCCTGCAGATTTGCTTTATACAACAT